TAGACTGCAGTGGGGTCTGCCCTCAGTCTGCTCCAGCCTGAACAGACCAAATGACCTCAACTGCTCTTCACACAGCTTCCCCTCAAGGTCCTTCACCATCCTCATGGCCCTCCTTTGGATGCTCTCCAATAACTTAATGTCTTCTTATATTGTGGTGTCCAAAATTGCACAGAGGACTTGAGGCAGGTATCTGCCATGACGCTTTTGTCTTAACTCATTGTTAATTACAGGCACACTTCCTTTGTTGTTTGCTTTAGGATGAAATCTTGTCCCTTTTTTGGAATGTCCCCTGTAGACAAGCCCTTAGGTGACTCTTGTTAATAACCTAATTTCTGTGACTCCACAAAAGCTCCAAGCAGAACCTGCAGATCAATTTCTACTTGAAGTTAGAACTGATAAGGTAAATTATAATTTAAAACTCTCCTGAGGGAGAGATGACTCTTGAATAGTTGAGTAGCTGTCCCTGACCTTGCTTATTGGAAGAAAATGACCCATATGAAAGCTGATAGAAAAGGAAGCATATTAGTCACAGAATATTTATTATTAAAGATGTAGTTTTATTTCATGGTAAGAATAGAACCTACAATTTGATCTCTTCCTTTTAAAGAGGAGAAAAGAAACAATCTTAACTGATTTTATCATTAAAATACTATTATTAGTATAACAATAAAAAAGCTTAGAAAAGTCTAAGAAAAATACATAAAAATATGTATTTTTATGAACTATATCCAGATGTAATACAGGGCTTAGGCACATGTGAGCCAATCCAATGTGATCCAATTGACTATGGCAGCCTGTCAGCTGAAGTTACTATAGAAGACTGCATGTATGCCTCAATTGCTCAGATAATTGCTCAGTTCATGTATGTCAGTTGATAAAGATCACTAACCTAGGAATATAATAAGTAACTTACTGATATTCTGTGTAAACAAATGTACATCTATTTTTAAACAAATATACATGTGCAAAATAATGCATGTTGTGTATTCCAAAAATCCCTTCATTCTTACCAAGCTATTTATTTTATTGTAATTTCATATATATCAAAATTTTGGACTTGTAGTTAATGTCCTGAAAGTATCAACTCACTGTGGGTTTGTATAAATATATTATTGTACAATCTGTGAATTGGTGAATATTTTGATAAAATTGCAGCTACTTCAAATTCTGGACTGCAAAGACCAGCTGGGTGAACTTACATCAGCATGTGCCTCTGCCATCTGGGACTGAGTGACATTCATCACAGGGCTGGTACAACCTAATGGAATTTGTTTGCTGTACCTCAAGGACATGAGGCAGGTATTTGTGTCCTCCCTTTCTACTGAAGAAATGTTGAAAAAGATGCTTTTGAGAGAGGCATTTTTTTTCCACCTGCCAGAGTCATAGGATCTTCAGGCCAAAGGGTACCAGGAAAGAGAAACTCAAGCACAGGCAGATTCCACAGTGATGTAGCACAATCCCCATCACTCTTTCCTGGGAACAGTTTGGTTTACAGATGGGATAAAACTGCTGATTGCATTGACAGTCACTGACAACCAGGGTCACTGGAAGAGAGTCGTGGCTGCTTCCCTCTGCCCTGACAGCTCCAGTCCCATGCACAAGCAGAGAGCTGGAACTGGCTTGGTGGCTGCTCTGCAGAGATGTCTCATTGCTTCCAGATGAACCCTCTGCCTCGAGCTTTCCTGGCTCCGCTGGTGATAAGCGCAGATAAGGTCGGGCACATTTCCTCTGCACAGGGCTGCTCCGGTGCCTGCAGGGAATCAGCCCTTCCCATCACAGGTGTGCTGAGAACAAGAAGGGTTTCAGTATTTCAGACTGGAACTGAGAATTGACTATTCTTGAAGCAGGCATTTTCTACAGCTGGCAGGGTTATTTTATGGTGGTATAATAAAAACCATATTCCCTGTGTTAGTTTGTGGAGGAGGTTGTCTGAGACTGCCACAATTTCAATAAACTGAACATCCATTTTCTTTACTTACCTTCTTCCACCCAAAAAGGCAAATTATTCTGAAAAGCCAAGTTATTCACTTGGAAAGAACTTAGCTTGGTTTATCACACTTAATTTTGATAAATACAAGCTGGCTGTTTCTTATCATGTTTATGTCCCTAGATGCTTATACACAGAATGTTTCACATTTTGTTGTGGTATCATTCCAGGTGTTAAACATGGATTGACTAGCCTACAATTTTCCATCTTTTCTTTTTCTTTCCCTGTAGGAGACCACTATAATCATTCTGATCAGCCATCTGTGTGTCTTCAAAGTAGTTCAGATTGTTTCAATTATTCCTTAATCTTGCAAGGTGGATTTCAGCAGGGTCCATTATCATGCACACATGTCACAACTAAATATCTGCTATCTGTTCTCTCTAGCTGGTGTTCCACACCACTGAAATGTGTTAAAATCTGATCACAAATACTCTTTTTATGAAGGCTCAGGCACTGAACACTTTGTTCTTTTACATTGCTTCATAAATTTTTCACTATTCCTCCTTAAGACCAGTGAAATGTTCTCGGTCTTTTATCCTGACTGTATTTATAAAAGTTTTCTCACTTTCTTTTATGTCCTTTGCTGGTTACATCTCATTTTATGCCTCAGATTTTCTGATGTTATCTGCAAATCACTTTATGTTCAGTGTGCATTTGTGTTTCCATTTTTAAACAGTTAATTTCTGATTTTGAGGTCATTAGTAAGCTATTGATGTTCTTGATATAGAGCATTTACAATATATCTTATCTCTCCTCTGCAGAGGAATAACCTGTGATTCTTTCAATACAGAACACTGCTATATTCTATTCCAAAAATGGCAAAAGAGTACTTCAATATCGTCTGAACCCTTTTTTCCAATTTTATTTTATAAAACAGAAATTGTAGCAAATCTATCCAGATTCAGAAGAATGTGGATTTTGACAGACTTCATACAAGACTAAAATAAGGTTTCATCAAACTTTTTGCAGCAAAGTGCTATTTTAATAATAGTGCTTCAAAAATGTACAACATCCGCGGAACAGGGGAAGGAGGAAATAAAAACACTCTGAATATATCTAACATGAGCAGAACACCAGATAATGCTCCATTACAATAATGCTACTGAAGACTTACTGACAATAGATATCTGGCAGAGAAAGCCCTTCTTGCCTTCTGCTGGATGAAATTGCATGTGGGAGATCCATATCAAGGAAGAATCACTCTGCCCTAAGGCATTTCCACGGGGAATGCAGATCATTAGGACTGTGGTACCAGATGGCAGAACTGTAAAACCTCTTCTAAATGCCCCAGTTATCCCTGAGAGTCTGCCAGGCCAGGGTTATACCTGAATTGAGTACCGTTTTTCTGGACAAAAAGGGTTGTGAACAAAAAGGGTTCTGGACAAAAAGGGTTAGCTAAGGTGGTGAATTTTTGTATGTGAGGAGGTCCAACTAAGAGCAAATCAGACAATGAGAACTGTCAAAATAGTGGTAGATGCTTTTTTTAAGAAAGAGTAGAGCTTAGGCCCAGTGAAGTATATCTGATTTTTACATAATCATTATGTGTGGAATTCTTTAATTCCTAATTTGGGTAGACTGTAACTCTAACATGCTATCATCTGTGTTATATTGTTATTCTGGAGGTTTGCTCTACTTCTGAACTCAACCACAGTGATGAAGCAGTCACAGGCTCTGCCCCACAATGGACCCTGTGTTTTAATTTGGCGTGGCAGAGTGTTGGGTTATTTGCTTTCCCTTGGGTATGTGGGGCCCACAGTCCAGTTGTCCTCAGCCCTGAGAGCTGTGCTGACTCGCCAGCTAGGCCAAGGCCATGCTCACACAGAACATCTCTACTCTCACCTTCATAGATACTCTGATTAATAATTGTATCTTTAAAAGGCTGGAAGTTTCATTAAGTTTTGGACATCTTTATAAAAGGTCCTTTAAATTAAAACCATTTTGCCAATAGATATAGTACATGAGAAAGACAGCTCTAAAGGCATCCCGTGGCCAAAACCTGCAAAATCACCTCTAAGTTTTGCTGTTTCATTTAAGAGAACTTTTAACTCTAATAATAGTCTTCAACAAATTAGAGCCCTCCATCTCCTTTGGCTAATTTCAGAAGTTTTTCTAAGACTGATTTCCCTGAGGATTTTCTTCTCACCACTCTGCCACTTCCAATTCTTTGGATGGTTACAGCTGATAAGCATCATTAGCAAATCAGTAGAGTTTGGCAGTCTGTCTTCATTTTCCTGCTAGGGCAGCATTATGCTGTCACCAATAGTCCATCAGTTTTCTCAGATTTCACAGCAGACACCGAGGCACAGCTCTCATCTCTTCTAAATGAATTATGTGATCCAGCTGGATCCATTCTTCTTGGAAGAGCAGATCCTATGGCTCATTTTGGTGACTGGGGGGGAGGTGAACACCACCAACTCTGCTGATGCTCTGTCAGTCCTGGCACTGACAGAAGAAATTAGAATATATGTGGGCACTTTTGCTGTGCAGCTTGGCAGGGCAGGATGGGGTTAAGAGCCCAGGGCAGTGCACTCTGGAAAGCTCTGGCAATGGAGAGCAGAACACTCTGAGCAGGCTCCAATGGCTTAGTTCTCCTTTCAGGCTGTACACGGTACGTGAGCCAAATGCTGGGCTCTTCTGATGTAATCAGAAGTATAGAGTAACAAACCTAAGTAAGCTTATAGCCATATGGAGAGTTGATAAAGTCAGACCAAGTATATTGGTTTATACAGATGGCTCAGACTGTCAGGAGAACACTGCATGACTGACGGAAAGCAAATGATATTCTTCTCACAGAGAATCAGTTGTTTGATAAAAAATAAATACTTCAAAACCACACAATATTCCCCACAGTGAATATATTATGTGTCTATCATTAGCTAAAAAGAACCTAATTTAACAACTGAAAATACTTGTACAAGTGAGATATGAGCAGTAAGTGTTAATGTTACTGATGTTCAATTCTGCTAATTCTCAGATTAGTTATATGCTGTGGCTTATATCTCTAAAAATACAGAAGAGGTGTTCTCAGTCAGCTTGATGAGATGATGGTACATAGCTTCACGTAACTCTAACAGGCATTCCAGAACAGGATGTGTTTGAGATGTGCTTTGCTGAGATGCTGGCTGAGCCGGAGGAACCTGCGATTCCAGCCTCTTCTCTCATGGTGCTCCTGCCTCCCATCAAGGTTTCCAGCCTTCATCCAGCACCAGCAGCAGGGACAGCTCCTCTGATAACGATGGCTCATCGGACAGCTCCGAGGAGGAGCAGTTCCTGAGCTCCAGGAGCAGGTACTGCATCTGGCACGGTGAGCTGGGGATGGCCAGTGGGTCCTTCTGGAGCTTGGTGGCCTCGGGCTTGGGGCTCGAAGCCATGGACTGTCCAGCTGTGTAAGAGTGACTGTCAGCTGCCAAGCGCTCCAAAATTATTTGGTTTCAAGAAAAGCCCAAAGAAATTGGTGCTGTGCAGGTTTTCAGGCTGGTCCTTCCTGCTAGGACACAGGAGTTGGTTCCCAATGGCAGAAATTTTCTGCCTGCACTTGGGAGGTGTCTCAACAGCTGGACCTGGGGACACGGCTTGGGTATGATGGTGGTGATGTTGGGTTGACATTGGACTCTGTGGTCTTGAAGGTCACTTCCAACCCAGATGATTCTGTGATTCTGTGACTCATGTTATGATAGATATGGTCACTTCTGAGGGCATTTGGTTTTTATTTAAGCACTCAGCTTTGTGGATGCATGTGAGGCAAACTGACATGTGACAGTTCATGATGTGGTGTGTTTTAACTTTGAACCAGCTGTGTCAGCCTACTGCTCAAAGCAGTTGAAAATATCAGACTGCCTAATAGCTTAGTCCAGATGAGACTCAGATGAGTTTCTTAGAACCATTGGCATCTCAGTTGAAAAAAAAAACCTTGCAGATAATCAGAAAATGATGGAAAGGTCAAATTGAAAAATAAATGCAGGAAGAAATTTGAAGCCTTTTGCATTTCTCTGACTGTAGTGTGTTTACTTTTCTGAGCTACCTCAGATTGGTTGGTCTTTTTTTTATTGTACTGCACCCCAACTCTACTATGTGTTAAAATACTTAGCTAAAACAATATATATATTTAGATATGAAAGTTATTACACTGTAAATGCATAAGAAAAATACCAAGGCTGCATGCAGAAAGATTCTGCCTGATTGCCAGGGTTACACATTGTGGAAGGAAAGCTAAATTGGGGATTAACATGAGAGCAATGTGAGCATAGAGAGTAAGATATTGAATGAAATGGAAAGGACAATTACATAAACTTGGAAGATACTACATTACTGAAAACACTCATTATGCCTGAGTTTTGTTCTAGGTCAGTATCTTCAGCTTATGCTGAAGCTGGTCAGGGTCATCTGATTCTGTGACTATTATCAGTCTTGATTTAAGTAATACAAAGTTCCATTGCTCTTGATAAATTTCTGCTTTTGTAGATTCTTGACTTTGCTCTTAGTTATGCTTGATTACTTTCTTGGAGACATTAGCTATGGCTGTGAATACAGTTTAGTGCAATGCTGTCAATTTTTTTGTGTGCCTCTGCCAAAAGCTGCACTGTGCTGATACTAAAATGCTTTTCCCTGGCTCCAGACAGTCTCCACTCTCTGAGTGGGCACTTGGAACTAATTGTGATGGTACCCTGATATCCCTGCACTGCAACTGAGGATTAGCAAAGTCAAGGCAAAGGGTTTAGGCATGGTTAAATACAATGTGCAGAATATGCCACATTATAATGTTTCCAATAAAAATGTTGGAGTGTGGGTATCCACTGGCTATTGAAAGTCAGCTGCAGCAAACATGAACAGAGTGTATTCTGGCTCTTCCTGACTGGAGCCATCAGCTCTCCGCAGATCTGTGTTACTCATCATGGATAGAGCTCCTGAAAATGAGGTCCCTAGGCTGTGCAAGTGGTACATAATGGAACCATAACAGCTCTGTTAAATCTACAGGCACTTAATTGTATGACTGAGATGTATTCAGTATTGTATGTACTACTTCCTTGTTCACAAATTTCAAAATCCACTTGTGCTTGTAAATGTCCATATAATGAGTTTAAATCTGATGCCCATTGCTGCTATACAACTTGATTCATTGCTGTCATGTGCAAAGGGAAAGAAACAAGAAATAGTGACTGACCTCAAAAATATCCTTATTTATTTGTATATGAACCCTGTACCTACTTAGTTATCACTAAATTTCACAGGCAAAGAAATAAGAATACTTCAAATGGAATTTGTTACTTGAAAGAACCAAACCTCTTAGGATTATCTGACTGGGTTGGCTGTCCCTTGCTTTAGAATCTCTGATTTTTCTTTTAGAGCTGATTTTTCTTTTCAGTTTGTAGCCGTTAGATGATTAGCCTTGATCACTTTAAAAAGCAGCGTGAGACTTTTCACCACAAAGCCTGTCTCCAAGATTTTAGTTCTTTTTTATTTATAATAAAAGCTGGTAAGAACTGCAGTTGAAAGGAAGGAAGAAAAATGATGAGAATATCAATAAAATAAAAATTGATTCTTTAGATTTTGTTTGCAGCAGAAGTTCAAAACAATTTTGATAGAGCATTTAAAGACAAAAACATAAAGCTGGGGGAAAAGGTTCCAATCATTGCTTTCACTGTTAAAGGCCCAGCACTCCACCCCATAAAGGAAATGCTAAAAAATCTCCTCCAATAGGGACAGTTAGTACCTGACATCTTTATATGTTCACAGTAGTAATAATATCTAATATCTTGGTTTTATTTGTTGTGGGAAAATGTTACTTCCCAGTATTTTATCTTTCACACTTTAATATTTGAAAATGGAATAAAATATTTTATTTCTCTTTTGCAAATCAGACTAAAAAGCCTACACTATCCACATTAAAATTGCAACTGTTTACTTGGCTTTTCCTACCCCCTTCAGTATGAATTAGGTGAAACACGCTTGCTGGGTTGGATTTCTGTTAGGTATCACTAGATAAACAAGGTCAGGTATGATTAGCTTTTGACTAAGATGCAGTTAAAGAGAATGTAGGACACTGCTGAAACTTTACTAATGTTGTGGCTTTTTTCTCAACAGCTAGTATCAATTTTCCAGAATACTGGAGAATACACTCCACAAGCCACCAGAATATTGAGGTCAGTAATGGCAGGCTCCAGATGAGCACAAAGACTTCCCTAAGAGCAGAGCATCCATTTGATGCATAGGCCCATTTCTAATTTCTGTAATTCTGTCTTGCTTGTCTGCACTTCCCACTATTTCAACGGATCACAGTGTTGTTTTCCCTACCATGTAACACCTTGTGGAGGGACAATGTGAGCTCTTAAATGGGCTGCTGCTTTTCATCTCTGTGGGAGCATCATACTAATTAGATGAAGTTACTTGTGAATTTATGGACTGCACTGGAATCCTTTGGGAGTGTAAAGCTCTCAAACATTATAAACATTTTTGTAACTTACTGGAGTCTGAAATCTCTGATGTAGTTGTGATTATTTACAAGAAATATCTACAAAATAATATTTCTCTGAATTAGTCTTTGCTCTTAGTTTGAGCTTATTAAAATAGTACTTATTAAAAAAAACCCTATTTCTAGAATTTCTAGGCTTTATAGATATCCTAGGGTGATATCAGTTTGCACCTCTGCAGTTTCTAACACTCTTGTGGTTCCTCCTCTTGAATTCCCCTACTTCTCCAGCCTCTGCTAAAACTGCATGCAGGAGACCTTCGAACAAATTACTGACCAGACCTCTTGAGGCAATGTCTCTGGGCTTTTTGGGTTTATGATTTTTTTTTCCTTAGGGTTATCCCAAAAGATGAATGACTCTCCTATTTTTCATTTTTCTAGAGGCTGACTATAGTCTGTATTGTATCCTGGTGGGATGGAATGGTGGGAGAAATGTGCTGCACAGTGCAAGATACCAATATTTTCTCTGCTGGTTTTTAGACACACCTAAGCTGATGGAAGCAAACAATACTTTTCCCTTCCAGTGACCTCCATCCCCTATCCCCTTATTGGCACTGGGCCTCCTCCTTGGCAGCATGTAGGCTGAGCTGCTCGGTGGCTGCGAGCAGCTCCAGGCACCCGGGCTCTGAGAGCCCTGTATGGCCTCCCAAAGAGCCTGCACATATCCTGCCCAACCCAGCTGCTGTAGAGCTGTGATTTTCAATACTGTCAGCAAATGATGGAAAGTACTTATTGACTGAGAGAGTTAAATGTTCCAAAGCTCTACAAGCTGTTCAAAACCAACTTCTGGCTGCTACTGCTCTGAGTGTGGAACTCTCACCAACATGAGTGAAGTCCATAAGCCTGTGAAACAGCACTAAGCCTTATAAGGGAACTTGTGTGTTTCTATGTAGACCAAAGTAGCCTAGAATATTTTCTGGAGATGAATCCATAGCCCAGTGTCCCATCTGTATTAATGTGCACCAGGAGCTGAAGCCATTTTCCTGTGCATTTTGTGCAGAGTGTTAAGGAAGCTCAGCCAGTGCAAGCAGCTGGGCTGGAGTGAACTACTGGCCATCCAAAAGATTTAAGTTGCTTTAAATAGACTTGCGGGAATCTGAAATACTTTAATTGCCTAGCTTGAAGCAAAGCTTTTGCTGTGTCTGGATTATTTAAATTCTCCTCACATCCTCTGGGGCAAAACATAATGATAACATTTCCTTCTACCCCACTAACTTTACATAATTATTGAACAAAGGTTTTTGCACATGTACCCAGGTTTAAAGCATGGTGTCAGGACTGCCTGTGCACCATAGAGGATCTGGTCACTAGAGTAAATAGGAAATGAAGAGTCAGGATTACATACAAAGTTTATGAATAAGCAATATGTGGAAAACAATTACTCTTGTGAAAGAGTAGGTGGTTCATTACATTTTAAAGTTAAAGAATTTGAAAGTATCCATTAGCTACAGCATGGTAGGTTTGTCCTGGCCTTGGACAAGGGTAATGGTGAGGTGGAACTGTCCTTGCTGTGAGGAAGGCACCAATGTATTTGATAGACATTATGTAACAACTCTCTCCACCCCAACCTTGTTTGGCTATTTCAGTGACCTTGTTGAGATTCCACCTCAGTTGCTTTTGTCCTTACCATGATTTGAACTGGAGCTGCCTGATGTTTGCCTGATACAGGAAAGGGTTGGATGGGCTCTCATTGGCCCAGATTCAGGCTCCCAGTGTCTGAGCTCTCAGTAAAGCACACACTGCCCTGCATTTCCTGCTCCCAAATGCGGGCTGCTGGATTCAGCAGCAGGCAAACATGGATGAGGAGCTCTTTGTCTGGGCATTAAGAGGTCTTACAGGCCCCAATCTACCCAATTTGGGGTCTCACTCATCCCACCAACAGCCCATGTCAGCTGTGATGGCACAGCCCTGCTCTGCTCAGCCACGGGTCCTGCTGGGCCAGGGCTGCTCCTGTCCCCATGTCCTGCCTCTGTCCGGGGCAGCGGGATCAGCCCTGGCTGCCAGGCTCTGCCCTCTGCCCCAGGACACCCCACAGCACAGGGAGATGTCAGCTGGGGCTGCACCCCACTCTCTGCTGTCAGCCCCACCTCCACCTCACAATGGTTTTTCTTTAAAAAATGTGAAATGCAACTGGGTTTTGCTTTTTACCAGAAAGGTGAGCATAGAGCCCATTTGGGAATATTCTTTCACTCATTACATGCAGAGAGATCTCCCTCTAGGATGGAAAAACTGCTTGTCCTGTGGGGCTGGTCCCAGTCTTAATTTGTGTATCTGTATAAAATATGTCAATGTGTTATTTCAAAACCCCCAACCCAGACCATTCCTCCATATATTTTTACTTCAGTGATCTTTAATTTAAGTTTTTACTAAGTTTATGACATCTGCAAAAGTTTGAACTTTTAATCCCCAAGGGGCATCCTGGAGTGAGACATGTCGGGCTCCTGCTGTCAGTGGGGAAACAGCTGGAGTTACTGATTGTCTTGGTCTTTTTTGCAGCTTTTTTGGTGGCATTTTATCCCATTTTATCCGTTATTGAGACCTAGATATTTCCTAGAATTTTTCTTAATGTCCCAGAGTTGTGTTATGTTAACAGAATTTAAAAAATAGAGCAGCTAACTGCTTTTCATACAGCTATAAAACCAAATGTAGCTATAGAAGGGATGAATAGGACTCACATTCAGCTGATGCTTGCATATTGATTGACCATAAAGAAATAAAATTTTATATGCACTTGCAACAACAGGCAAACATGAAAAAAGGCTTCTTAGATTTCTTATGTTTATTACTCTTCAGCCAAGATTTTTAGAATATGCAATGGCTATGTGCAAGATACAGCAAGTGGGCTTTGTGATTATCATTAATCCTCTTGAAAGCTGGACATTTGCAGTGTCCATGATTAAAAACTCTCAGTGTTGTTCTGTCTGTTATGTTCTGTTTCTCAAAATGGCAGAGGTTCACAGAATTAATATAAAGAAAGCAGTCAAACGTCTGCTGGTCTGATGCAAACTGGGACCAATAAGTCCTTCCCACACAGAGGCAGCCATCCCCATTTCTCACAGTTCTGCCCAAAATTCAGAGACTTGGGTTTTTCAGTGGCAAGGGGAGCTAGAACCAGCAGCAGCCACTCACTTGCCTGACCCATCCATTTTGTTCATCATTCAGTGGGAAAAAAATTAAAATGGCATTGTAAAGACCTGGTTAATGCATTTATTGATCTCAGATACCTGAAAGCATCCAGGGCATGTGCAGCTTCTGTGTGAGTGTGAGTTCATCAAAGTGCTAGTTGTTCATCTGGAAACTGGCATGGGTCTCAGCTTTGTGTCTGTGTGTGCACACGTGCACATTGCATCTGCAGTGGTGTATGTGCAGCTGATTAAGCATTTGCCAACATTTCTCAATTCTGAGATTATTGATTTGGGCCCATGAAGAATAAAGAGGTAAATCGTGGTTTAAAAGCCTCAGTGTGGTGTGCACTGCTTAAAACGGCCCTCTCACTGTTTGTTCATTTGACGTAACACTGATAGAAATTCTCAAACATGATCTGTTACAGAGAGCACTATTAGGTGTATCACTATAAAAGGTAGATTTCTCATGTTAAATTTTCATTCAAATTTATTTAAAAGGCCTGAAAATTTCAATGCTTCTGCATATGTATTAACTTTTAAGTATCAGATCAGAATTCTGTCTGGCCGTTCTGACTTAGTGCATTGAATGACTAATAGGATGAAAGTCAGAAAATCTGGGCTTTCATCCACATTTTGTTGGTTGTTTGTCTGATTTTTGAAAATCTCTGTGTGCCTTAGTTTCTCCATCTCTAAAAAGAGGAACATTTCACTTGTCCATATTTGTAAAGTATTTTATTACATCAACTAAATTTGGTCCGACGATGGAAAGTTTTATTTAACATCTCTTGTTTGCTGCCTGCTGCTCATGGACATTTGGGTAATGGAATAATCAGATGCAGATGCACTGGTGCATTTGTGAGATTATTTCTGTGCTAGAGCTAATTAAAAACCCTCAAAATATTTCTGAATATGTTGATGTTGTAAAATTTAACAAAGGACTAAAATCTCAAGAATGTTAATAGCAAATCTTGAGGAATTTTAAAAGTTAAATATGTATGATAAAATTGACTGGCTTTGCACCTCAGTTTCTTTGCCTGCAGAATGGGATTAAAGAAATTAATGGCTTCTCTATTAAGCAGTGAGAATTCAATCATATGTCAAAGATGTAAAAAAGTTTATAATCATCTATTTGGGTTTTTTTAAAGTCACAATAAGATGGCAGTAAGGAACTGAGACTTCCTTTAAAAAAAGTGGCTTCAAATGCATGCATATTTACAAAACTATTATTGGCTTCTCCAGGTGATTTGTTCCCCTTGATATCCATGGCAGAAATTAGATAGACTGTTCTGGAAATAGGATCAGATTATTTTTCTGATGAATTTAAATCTAGTGATGTTGGTTTTTGGAATTCATGTGGGTAACAGTTGGCAGCACTCAGACAGATTTATGGACCCTGACAACACCCAGATGTATACCAGGAGCAGCAGAGGCTGCAAGTGAATATAAATGAAAGTCAGAGGACACAGTTCATGAAAGCAATTGAAGATATTTGGATGAAAATCCAGTGACCTTCCTGCCATTGGTTCCTTTAGACAGGGGCAGACATCTGTCCATGCCTCCTGCCACCTTGCTGCGTGTCTCACAAACAAGTGTTGGGCTGTAGAAATGGAAGTGTCAGGGAATTTCAACCCAATCCATTTAGGAGTTACCTCATGGGGCATGTGCATTTTATTACAGTTAGTTTCATGTAGTGATAATGAGCAGCCATGTGGCATTGCAACCTACTCTTTATTTAGAGCATAAAACAGCTTTATTCCTGCAAGGGCAGAGCCAAATGTTTTACAGGGAAGCAGTCTGCACATTTCAAATGAGTTGTTTCTATAATTCTAGCACTTTATAGTAAGAACTGAATAGCATAATTATAGGTAAGGAAGTGGTGGTGTTGGGAGGAGATGATGGAAGTGTTTTTCAGCAAACAAGCAGAGCAGAGAGCTTGCATTCTCCTGCTGCTGGAGCACCACAATGTCTCTCAAAGCCATTGAAGGAAACCTTCAAAACTTATACAATGAACATATCCCGGAAAAAAGCATGTAGCATAAAATGGAGTTTGAGTGTGCCTGGCCCATAATTAGCTTAAGAGATGTGGACAGGAGTCCTCTGACTGGAGCTCAAGGCTGGCAGATGGCTGCAGCCCTCTGCAGAGTAAGTAGCTCTGAATAGATTACTCTGGAAAATGAAATAAAAATCAGTAAGAAGTACAGAGATACAGGGTTTTTTCCTTTTTTGAATTTTTTTTCCTTTTTTTTTTTTTTTTGCTACAGCAATTTTGGGTAAATTGATAAGATAGCTACTGAGCTGTTTTTTCTTCTTTTCATACTGAGGAAAATTTGAGGAAGGCTGTTCTGTGGGCCTGCACAGGGGCTATGAGGTCTTGTCTTGTGTCCAGTAAGAAATATTTTAACAATCACTTGCTCCTGAACAATGTATAGAAGGGGTTTTTGTTTTTTTGATAGTACATATTTATATGGAGACCATGAAACTAGAAACTGTTATTTGGATGCATCTCAAGATATGCTATGTAGACAAACAATGTAATATATTGCATAAAATGTCACACCAGTTGCTCTGCAATCCATGGTACTCCTCTCTGAAATTATTTTTTCTCGTCACTATCTCCTGTCTCATTAGGAAGAAGTTAATATGAATATGTTTATAGTGTGCAGAAGGGCTTTTCAGTGGTGTGAAGCAATTATGTATAATCCACATTGCACTGGGCATTGAGCCAGCCAGGGTTGCAGGCAAGTGCCATATGTCATTTCTCAAGTACATGATACATCATTGCTTGAGACCCAGGCATATTTCCCCACACACATTGCCCATCCATTTCTTGTTTTTATCTGTGTTTTCTGCATGTTTCTCTTTGCAGGCTCTCTGCCTTCTGTTCTCTTGGGAATCACTTTGCTGATTATGGATGGATGCTATCAGCACAACCAAGAGTGGAAATCATGCCATATCCTTATTTAGTGTAAAATGGAATGTTATGTTTCTGAGATTGATCTGTTATCATGATACCCAGGAGAATTCTGCAAACCCAATGAACAATTCAGCTCCTTTGTTAGCAGATTAGAAAGAATATCCTTCAAAGCAGTTGCTGAAAAGGATAATTTTCTTCCTCTGGTCTACATTTTCAGGTGTCTGGTATATTCTATAAGATAAAGACATAACAGTTCTAGTTTATCTGCCTATTTATTTCTCCTGCAAAACTCCTCTTTAAGAAAGTTTTGCAGTTCATTTGAAGGTTTATTACATTATGAATGATCAAGTGATTATTTACTTCTCAATCACCAAATAAATCCATGAAAATGGACCAAAAAATAGGACTACAACATTTTGAAATTGAATTGTTTCACACTGAAATCACAGTTGTATTTCTGCATGGGGTGTTCCACTGAATCTTCTCTAAAATACACTTTGTGGAAATGCTTGACTGAAAAAGCTGATGAATTACTGTTGCAATCTTGGAGACAGAAGCCTTCAAGTCAGTAACTGTGTGATGAGTATTTTCTGCCAAGATGCTGGAAACTCAGATTCAGTTCTACCCTTTTTCAGCAGGATCTTATAATTAGTACCATAGTTTCAAACCAGTTGAAAGAGGCTAGATTTTTGATCTGGAAATTCCATACAATACAAATACAACTCACTTTTAGTAGAAAAATAATTGATAGATCTCTGCTTCTCTCCTTTTTAAGTCACTGTTCCATGCTTTGCAGTTGGAACTAGATATATGCTGAAACTTTAAAACTGCCCCCACTCCTGGTTTTGCCAGAGGCTGAATATGTTCACTTTAGGGCACACTTTAGAGCAGCACTTTTCCTTGGCAGGATGTCCTTAGCTGTAGTTTGAGAATGATAGCTTTCCTTTATTTCAGTATTACAAAAATAAATTCCTTAACATTCATTGCACTAGGCTGAAGGTGCTATAGAAATGCCACCCTTGCCACAGTCATGCTCATGGATGGATGGGGTTTGGTGCTGTGCATGATGGGTTTGTGCATTCTTGGGCAGGACGTGGCTCCAGATCTGTCCTCTCAGCTGGACTTGGCTGTTCTTCCTCATCATCCTTTCCCTTCAGGAGTGCTTGGTTGTGAATCCCATCTTCACCCCCAGTCTGTATCCCCATTTGCAGCAGAGGAAATGCAGCTCACTGAACTCGGTTCTTGCAGGCATGTGTCTAAACTGTGTCTAAACTACTGGATATGCCCTTACATTCCCTGCTAATTTACTGGTACCATCAGCTCCTTTTCTGGTGCAGAGTACCACTGCTAGGGAGGGGAGGGAAGCAGCAAATCTGAGACAGTATCAGCCAAAGGCTCCAAATTTTACAATGCTACTTCACTGCACAGGAACAAGACACAGCCTTGTTTTAGTCAGTAAAGGTATCTTGCAGATGGAAATTCAGTGCTGGTGATGTGCTGTATTCTTATCCTTAGCTGTATTTTAAACACATAAACTGGCATGTCAAAATGTAAGTGTAAGCATGATATGAGACTGCTATTATTAGGTTTTTAAGTCTATCTCCCAAGTTTGAGTTCAGTGCAGGACAAAAGGTATCCAATCTAAATACATTATATATTAAACATAAATATCTGTCAAGTGTTTTACTTGTCATCGATGTAAACGTCAGACATTTTCTTTTCAGAATATGGGACTGTGCATCAGTACAAGTCATTAGCTCTAAACTCCTTTACTTTATGCAGTGTCATTTGCTGCTGGATTTGCATACATTTTCCTAATGACTCTACCTGTCAGCTGCCATGGTTTCTGCAGTATTTTCATACTTCACTGTTCAAAGTTAAGAAGGCTTATGAGATCTTGGATCATTTATCAGTATTCAGTGTGGAATTGCATTATTCCAGGATGGATTATGGAGGCACAAAATGTTATTCTAATGGCTTCATTGGAAGTGACTAACAATGCCTTATCAGGAACAATTTGTGTAGCCCTACAGTATGTTTAAAAAAATATGATATGGGATGTGCAGGGGACAAGATACCAACATTTGTTTTATTTGTATTCTAGGACACAAGGGTATTAAGGAGAAATGAAATGGCAGCTGCAGCTGTTTTAGGCATTCCCCAAAGGGATAGAGCTAATAGGATATGTCTTCATCCACAGCTGAGTTAATTTTGAAAGCGGAGGATGAAAAATGAAACTAAATACATACAACAAAATCTTGGATAGCGGGGGTGGGAGGAAGTAGCCACCCTCACTAATCTGTGACATCATTGTGATAAAAAAGGAAATCTTTCCACTAGAAATCCTAGAAGAGAAGATTTTGTGAGGCAGCTGAAGTATTAGTCTGTCTGAAAAAAAGAACATTTTGTGGAACTGTATGTCTAATGGACAGTGTTTGAAATCTGCAGATACTGTAATATAGATTACTGGAAAAGCATTGCTCAAAAACTTTAAATCTTTTTTAGGCCTGGCATCAAAGGTTGTATTTTCTATGTTAATGCTGAAGATGAAATGTGGTGATAGAAGTACAAAGCCACAAAAAATACAAGGTAAATTTATCCTTTAGTCAGGCCCTAAGTTCATTCTGACTAGATATATATTCTGCCTTTCTTCAAATATGGTGTCATTTTTTTTAAAGGAGCAGAATGTAACTTTTCATTTTTGTCTTTGAGAAGCCTTCATTCTGTCTCCTAGATCTCATGGTTTATTTCTCTCTGGAAATTTGCCAGGTGCAGTACTGTAGAGAAAAATGCCTCAAACCTTTCTTTAATCTTTACTTATCTCTCCCACACAAAGACCATGATTCATGGCAAAATGTCCTCATGTGCAATGATTTCTCCCCTGCACACTGATGGACTTTAATACCTTGAAGGTGCTTCTTTGCTGGGAATTCTGAAAAAAAATCTCCCAGAGGAGCAGATTCACCAGTGGTGATGATGTCATGGGTATAACATAGGCAAGACTCTGATTTACCACTTGGTACAATAATACTGCAAAGAACAGGTCTGGAAAGAAGCATGTCCATCTTGTCATCTACAGCCTGGCTCTCTGAGGCACAGTCAGCCTAATGCACCATCCAGTGCCTTAAGTTTCTTTTTTAAACACACTTAAGGAGCACAGCAACCTTGTCCTCTAAGGTTTCTTACTAGAGGATAGTAAGAAACCTTTTTTGGTTTCTTTTTGTCTCCATGGTCTGTCTCCATAAACCTATGGAAATGCCATGTTCTGCAACATTCAGGTCTTTACAGGGAGCTGCCCAAGTAGTCTTGGGCAGAATCAAAGCTGCAGATGTGTTTCCTGAATCAAATAGTAGTTGATTTTGTGAAGTATTCCATTTGTTTGCTATGGTGAGCAAAAAATATTTGCTCATGCTCATTTGATCAAACTATGGGGTTTTGGTCTTAATTGCATTTTTCTGTAATATAAAAAATTTGTTGCACTAATTCAGTGGCATTTTGGGTCAGTTTTCTTCTTCTCTTTGGTTCCTGAGGAAATAGTGCAGAAACTGGTGCTAAGAGCTTTTGGAAAGAGAGGTCATGCTGGACAAAGAAACTAACATTTTCCTTTGTTTCCCCTCCAGTCTTGGGAACATGTCATGTTGGCTAACAGGAAAGTTTTCCATTTTTATAGACATTTTCCATTAATTTTTTTCCCTATCATTGTCACTTTCCCCATCAGCATAATTCACTGTACTTATCCTAAGCTCCATATTAAACCCACATCCTTCTGTTCTGCAGAAAAAAAAATAAAAGAGGAATAAGATATGCACCTTAAAAGTAATCTCCGAAGATCTGAGGCAATATTCTAATGGATCAGCAGGTACATCTGCAGAGTGGGACTTACCCAACAGGGAAAAGAGGGGGTGTTTCTGATTTCACCGAGGCATGCGCAGAGCTGCTCTGCACCATGGAAACTCTTATCTCAGTCCCTGCAGTATAAGCAGTGAGGGATGAGGTTGTTTAAATGACACAAATTATCTCTCCATTGGAGTGTGAGGTTGAGTTTTGCAAGCCCAGTGATCAGAGGTTGCCGTAGTTCGGTGTCAGCAGCAGCTCCTGCAGCAGTACTTGACATTGGGTGGACAAAACCCTCCCAAGGGTACACACATTCCAAGGTATCCACTTGTCTTTCTGCAGCTGGATCAAGGCTCTTTGCAGGGCAAGAAGGCAAGGGAGAGAAACAACAAAGCAGAGAGAGAGAGAGAGAAAGCAATCAGTAATCCTGAAATACTTTCCTTGTATTCTGGTAAATTACCTCTTGAGTTTAATGGGGCCAAATCTGGATTCTGGGTAGCATGAGAATTATTCCCAGGTATCTGAATGTAAAAGTCAGTGTCATGTGATGCTAAATTGAGAGCAACATTTCTCATCATGCTGCAATCCCTGTTCTTAAACATCCTTGTTTGAAAGAAGGATGTATCAAGACCAGTTACTGATAAAGCACCCTGCTTAGTTCAAGTTGCTGTTTTATTAATTCCCTGTAATGAGCTAATGGGCGATCATAACAAACCTATCCACTTTTGGCACCTCAGGCACTTCTCCTGTCCTAGTGGAGCTTCACAGGTAATTGACAGTGACACAGCAGTGTCTTCAAACTGTGGCTTTGAACTTGTTCAGGCTACAAAGCACTTGCAAAGAGAAGGAGCCCTTTGATAAAACCTACTTAAATTAAGATTTTTTTTTTCCCTTGGGAAAATGGAGGAACTCATCCACCTTGCTTCATTGCCAGTGCTACACTGTCTGTGCTGTGGAGGCCAGGAACTCTGTCAAATAATATATGCTACAAGTCTGCAGCCAGAGCAGCCTCTGGAATGAAGGTGTAGTGTTGTCAGAGAGGAGGGTGAATCCTTCTAGACACTCATCAATTCTGTAGGATATGGGAAGAAAAATAATAGGGTAGAGAGTGATTTGAGCCTGAATGTGATCAGTTCTCTTCTTTTCCCCACTAATTGCTGAATAATTTGAGCAAAGGTTTAAAGCATGAGGGGTTTGGATGTTTTTGTTGGTTTTTGG